CCAGGTAGAAACTGCCTCCAGGTGATGAGGAGAGACACAGGGAATGCAAACCGCCACCTGGAGGTCGACCTCTGTCCTGCAGATGGGCAGGACCCAGGGAAGCCTTGTCTAGTGTTAAACACGGATGAACTTGGAAAGCATCGTTCTCGGCAAACTGACACAAGAACAGAAAATCAAACACCGCATGTTCTTACTCATAGGTGGGTGTTGAGCAATGAGAACACATGGACACAGGGAGGGGAGCATCACACACTGAGGTGATGAGGGGATCTAGGGGAGGGACAGCAGGCGGTGGGGAGTTGGGGAGGGAAAACATGGGGAGAAATGTCAGCTATAGGTGATGGTGAGGAAGGAAGCAAACTGCATTGCCATGTGTGTACCTATGCAACAATCCTGCATGTTCTTCACATGCACCCCAAAGCCCAAAACACAATAAAATATTTAACAAATAAATAAATAAATAAAGGCTACTGGTGAATCACATTCAGTTCTCCTTGTCTCCAGTGTTCTTGAAATTGGTTGTCCTCCTTGATCTCAGTTTTATCATTTTGCCACATTTAAACAATAACTTTTAACTTTGGAGACAGAAAAGGAGAAAAATATTAACCTGAGAGATACAAATCAACCCTCGTGATTTGCGATAGAAAACAATCTTTCTGTGCAATAATTGAAGGCACACAAGTCAAATGTTCTGTCATTTATTCTCTAAAGCTTTGCTTTCCAATGGAGTGCTCCAGTCACCCGGAACACTTCAACTCTGGCTAGTCCATGTCCAAATGTGCTGGAAGTATAAAACACACACTGGAGTTTGAACACTGAGTTCCAAAAAAATAAAGCGCAACAGATCATTAATTTCTTATAGTGATTGTACGCTGAAGTTGAAATATTTTGGATATAAAGAGGTAGTAAAATACACTATTAGTAGCAATTTCCCTAGCTTCTTTGTACTTTTGTCAGTGTACCTAGCAGATCATCTTAAGCTACCTATTTGGCTGACATGGTGCTTCTATCAGATGGCAGTGTTAACACCCTTTGTCTACCAGTGTGCTTACTCCCTTTTGTTACCCTTCGGAACTGTCATGTAAATTAAAATAAAATATTCATAGAAACCAACAAGACCTCTTTGCTGGAGACATATTATATTTAAAAAAAAATGTGTGTCATGAAGCATTGCCAGCTTTCTCTCTCCAGGCTAAGTAAACAGTAGGCTACAGAACTGCGTACCCAGCCATAGAATATGAAAAAGTCGAACTGTCCCGTTTTCCACTAATGGTACAGCAGTCTGACCTCTGTTATTACAGCTGCATTTTCAAAACCACAGTTCAGAAAGTTGCTGTCATCTTGCGTGGTGCCATGTCAGAAGACTAAGCTGTCACCAGGCAGTGACACTGAGGGCTTCCACACTTCGATAATAGCTCATCGATCCCATCAATAACCTCAACCTGATTTCCAGTGAAGGCAGCCATGACGAAGGGAAGCAATGCTGAGAAAAGTATGATGTTTCCTTGACCTCACAAAAATATATACACACGAGTTCATGGAAATACATCTCCCCACTTTTTGCATCTATTTATTTGGACATAATGTCAGTAAAATTTGTAAAAGGATCACGATAGACTCTCATAAGCCCTTAACCTAGATTCCCATTAACACTGTATTGCATTTGCTTTATTGTTTTTCTCTCTGCAAACATGTATAGCTTCCATGTATATACATGCATAACAATTTTAAAAGCCATTTTGATATGTTGCAGACATGATATCCATTACCCCTAGATATTTTAGCATGTTTTTCTAAAAACAATGACATTCTTTACATCACAGTTATCAAAATCAACAAATATTAATACATTTATGCCATCTTATCCATACGTTTGAATTTTTCCAGTTGTTTCAGTAATGTCCTTTATAGTAAGGAAAAATATATCTGTTCCAAGATTCAATTGGGGTCAAGTATTGCATTTGATCCCCATGTCTAGTTGCTAAAATTTATGATGGAATGGCTCTTTACTGTTTATTCTTTGCATACCTCTCATGACTCTGTGACATCTGGAGGGTAGAGGCCACTTTTTTGTGGCTCAGCGGATCTGATGGTTCCTCATAAGAAGGTTATTAGTTATAATTTTTGTTATGTTTTTTGGCTGAAATATCAAGGACATCTTGCTGTACTCTCTGTGCATCAAATCACTGGACTCTGTCCCATTGCTGGTGAAGTTACCCTTGACCTTTGACTATTTGATTATGGGCTGTTTGCTGGGTTTCTTTACTAATAAGTTGGATGTTTTCCTGTTGTAATGAATATATATCATATAGGTAAGTTATATGTCAATAGGTAATTATGAGTTATGGTAAATTGATAATTTTACCACTGAATTAGCTCAAAGAAAGACTCCAGTTACATACTAAATTGCAGCAGAAAGATAATTTATTGTCATTTGTGATAAAACTATTATAATGGAGATGTATTATTTATTACTATCACTTAAACATCAAAAACAATAACAAATTATTGATAAATTTCCATGTTTTATCTCTTTTAAGTCTGTATGTTAATAAATATCCTAGTTGTCATCAAACTCTGACCCATACATTTTAGCATCTATTGATCACTTTTGCCTAAATCAATTTTTAGTATAACAGTTGCCAAATCTTCTAATTAAATTATTCTTTCAATACTTATTAGTTGGCATTTTACAAAAAGAGATAGTCCTTTCTGCCCTATTTATTCATTCACTTATGCTTCCTGTTGGTATCTATTCATGGATTCTTGCGTTATTCAATGGTTATAATCAGCTACTAGTATTATCTATTTTGACAAACAAATTGCCCAAGATTTCTTCAGTGCATCCACTTCAAGCCAGCTCCTAGTTTCTTGTGACACACCCTCATCATTCTTTTAATATTTTCCTTAATTTGTGAAACAGGCTCTTACAGTCTTATCTGAGTTTTCCCTGCCCAATTCTTGATGAAGTCTCTTCTCAAAAACTCCCTCCTTTGTTTTCATGGAGAACTAAGTTTAGAAACAGAGTAATGTGTGTCAAGTATGTCATTGCTACTGAGACAGCACTTCTAAACCCTCTCAGCTGACAGAGCTAGCAAACTTGGAAATGAATGTGTATATGCAAATATATGTTTGTGCACACACAGATCTACACGTCTCATTTTTTAACACATGTCATATGCCAGAGACACAAAATGAGTATAACATATAGTTTCTATCTACTAAACGATACACGTTTTACAAAAGACTATCTAAAACAATATTTAATATGGCATTTTCATTAAATTGTTGACCATTCTTTTTTAAGTGGCAAGAATTTTATATATTGATGGTATATAACATGACGTTGATATATGTATACATTGTGAAATGGCTAAATCAAGCTAATTGACATGCAGGTATTTCACATACTTTATTTATTCATTTATTTATTTGTTTATTTTGGTGGTGAGCAGATTCGAAATGTACTCTGTCAGCAATTTTCAAGCATATAGTACATTGTTATCAGCTACAGTCCCCGTGTCATACAATGCATCCCTTCAACTTATTCCTTTCTCTAATTAGAACTATTTGTCCTTAGACCAACATCTCCCTAAGACTTTCCCTGACCTTCTGGGCCCCTGGAAACCCCCATTACACTCTCTACTCCTAAAAGTTTGTCTTCTGTAGACGTCACATCTATGTGAGATCTTGCAGTATTTCTCTTTCTGTGCCTGGCTTATTTCACTAAAGATAATGTCTTCAAATTGCTGACCATTCTGATTGTTTAAAAATAAATTCATAATTTTTCCACTCAGCTCAATTAAAGACTCCAGTTATATACTAAATTGCAGTGGAAAGACATTAGTGTCAATTGTGATAAAACTATTACAATGGAGATTTATTATTATCACTTTTAAAGAAAAAATATTTTTAAATGGCTCATAAATTGCTATGTTTTATCTCTTGAATGTCTTACTTATTTTTCACCATGTGAATACGGAATTGGTAGTGACTTGTGGCCACTCCACAGATGAGGAACAAATAATTACTAGAAGTCACGAAACTAAATCAACGAGTCGGGTCAATGTGTCTCCAAAGCCCCTGCTTTTTATCAGTATTAACTTTGACTGTGGGATTGGCTGGTATTAAGACCCTGCTGAATAAAAGATAGATCTAATATTAAAACCTAGCTCTGAAGTTCCCCGAATGTTTGCAAGTAGCAGCATTAAAGAGAGAATAAAATAATATAAAATCCTCCCCGGTCACCTCTTAGAGCTCTAATACAAGTGAGTGAGTCTAAAGTTGGTTGAAGAACTTTTTCCAAATTCTCACAGGCCCAAGATTCTGGCATAGTCCGTAGGGAGTTTCAGAATCTTGGTGAAGAAGGTGTTTGTGTCTTAAATCTCTCATTTTCTAGGAGACCCTTTTTAAAGACTAGAGGGAAGAGTAGGCTTTTGTGGCTCAGATCTGCTACTAAAATAAACACTTCATTCAAGCACAAGATCTCAGGCCCGTAGTCCAAACCGCAACAATACAAGTAGGTAAATTTCATTTTGATCTATTACCTTTTATTCTTTGCTATAGGTAGCTTTTAACCCATGTATTCATATTTATGTTAAAATAATTATACAGAGAAAACAAAGCCGTTTTACAAGAATATAATGCCTGAATGCATCAAACTGAGTAACTGAAGATGGCTGTAACTGCGGGAAAAGGAATGTGCCCAGGCTTTGAGGTAATGTTCCTTGAATGGTCTCTCATCTAAGGAAGCATAAATCAAGACCACATCCATGGAACAAACAGGGCCACCTGTCAGGAGGAGGAGGCTGACTGGGAATTAAGGGAGGTGATGACTCTTAACAAGTAGGGCAGCCTTAGTCCTGCGGCCTGAGCGGCTGAGGAAATGAGCCCCTGCTCAGCCTGGATTAACACCGTTACATGCATCTTTCTTCATCCTCTCAAACAGTGAGTTAATTGGGATGGAAAATGAAAGCTTGAGAAAAATAAATTGCACCTACCTGGATAAGAGACAGATCCTCAAGCTGTAACCTGAAGAGGTAGTTTCTACAAAATACAAAAAGAGAGCAGTTTTATTATCAATCGATCCCAAAAAGTTAGAGTTTATAAAAATTTCAAGAACAAAGAAAATAAAATAATGATTTTGGCTTCCAAAGCATCTTCCTTCTAAGGATATGTTTAGCGCAACTTTCCTTGGAACTTAGAGTACAAAGAGGCATTCAAGATGTCAGCAAATACACCTGTGAGATTGGTGAGACGGCTAACAAATAAGTGGAGTGTGCGTGCACATGACTAAGGTAAGTGTAAGGCACTAAGTGGCTCTCTTGATCTATATGGAATAAATAAAAAGACATGGGCATTCCAGTATGAAACTGGCTTCACTTAAGCAAGATGATGTAAAATTATTCCTCGGGTCTTTCTTTCTAATCATCACCTAAATTCATCACGTTTTTGATTAAGAGTTTGAATTCAAACAATGCTCTGAGGTTCACAGTCCTCTACCCTGTCGGATGGATTCAGCATGTAATAAAAGTTTAGAAACATGAACTTGGGCCAAATTTTTGCGTGAACAAATGCAAAATTTATCCAAGCATACTGGCATATGCCTATAGTCCCAGCTATTCAGGAGGCTGAGGCAGGAGGATTCCTTGATCCTACTAGGTGGAGGTTGCAGTAAGCTGTGATCGCACCACCGCACTCCAGCTGGGGTGACAGGGTGAGACGCTGTCTCAAAAATTAATAAATATAATTTGCAGTGTATGTGAGTTGTTTAAAAAAAAAAAAAGAAAAGAAATATGAATGTGGCAGTCTGCCCCAAGGAAACTGATGACATCAAGGGCTTCAAAGAGTCAGTTTCACCCCCCAAGTGTAAAACAGGAAATCAAAGATAAGAAAACTATCAATTTCAACAATGAAGGGGAAGAACAGTGAAATACACAATGGAGATCAGTAGAGCACAGGGAAAAAAGATATATATTTGTTACACCAGGCTTTGGAATCTAGTGTTGCAGGTTTCAAAAACAACTCATAACCTCCCTCAGCATGCTTTGCTTCGAACTCTAACTGAAATCCTGGCATCATGTAAATGGGAAGATGGGGGCTGGGAATGTGTACCAGCAGCACCCCAAAGAGGAAGGGAGGAGAAAGCCAGTCTAAGTGCACATAATAATGGCAAGCAGATGCTGGCATATAATGGAAGGCAAACTCTAAGATGCAAATGACCATGAGGCAAAATCTCCAAGAAGCCAAGGATATTATTTTAATGAGCTCATCCAAGATCATTTCTATGGCACAAAGAGAGAAATTTTACAACACCAATAAGACATAAATGATTATTTTCACTATCGTGGAGGGGCTGGACACATGTCCTAGTGGCAGTGACAAGTGACAGCCAAAGCAAGCCAAGGGCATAACGTTGAGATGACCAAGAAACATCCCTATGGTTGTGGACAGAGTTAGGGAGGACAAAGCCTTCAAGGAAGCTGACATCCAGGAGCTCATGTACACCCACAGCTGCAGGATGAAGCGGGAGTAGGCTCACCATCAGGTAGTCTCATGAATCCAGGCATTGCCTCCTGGGCAGTCAGGTTTCACACAATTTGCCCCCCAACATGGGGGTACCGCATCTCTGAACTGAGTGAAAACTGTCTCCCACAAACCACAACAACTGTCTCTTCACTCCACTCCTTCCACCTTTCTAGTCTCCTTTCTAATATTCCCCGAGAGAAGCTCCCAGGAGCACTGATTGGCACTTGCCACCTCCATCACAAAGCCGTTTCAGGAAAAGCCCCCCTGTTCTTTATTAAAATGCTACAGCCTTTTTTTCAGAATCAGGTTAGGGATACCTTTGAGGGGAGGGAAAATTACAGAAAATGTTTTGATTCAGTGGGTGACATGAGAAGTCTAGGAATCCAACAGAAATGTCAGCTGCAGGCCAGGCACACTGGCCTGTAATCCCAGCACTGTGGAGGCTAAGGTGGGCTAATCACTTGGGCCCAGGAGTTCTAGACAGCCCTAGGCAACACAGGGAGACCCCATCTCTACAAAAAAAGAAAAAATACAAAGGTTAGCCAAGTGTAGTAGTGCCTGCTTGTAGTCCCAGATACTCAGGAGGCTGAAGTGGAAGGATCAATCGAGGCTGGGAGGTCAAGCCTCCAGTGAGCCATGATCCTGCCACTGAACTTCTTCCTGGGCAAGAGAGAGAGATCCTGTCCCAACAACTGAAAGCCATTTTCAGAGAAACAAATGTGAACTTGGTGCATATATGGAAGAGTATGTTGAAGCAGCCCATAGGTGCCACCGGAGGCTGACTGGCATTTCAGCATTTGCCAAGCTCTCACCCAATGTGACACAGAAACCAGCACACCTCCTCTATGGGAAGTGAGAAATCTACACACACACACAGACAAGTCTTTCAGAAGAGGGACTTACCAGTGTGATATAGTTTGGCTGTGTCCCCACCTAAATCTCATCGTAAATTTTAATCCCCATGACTCCCACGTGTCCAGGGAGGGGCCTGGTAGGAGGTGAGTGAATCAGGAGAGCAGGTTGCTTCATGTTGTTCTCATGATAGTGAGCGGATTTCATGAGATGTGATGGTTTTGTAACCATCGGCATTTCTCCTGCTTGCATTTCTCTCTCCCGCCACCAGGTGAGAAGGCCCAAGCTTACTTCCCCTTCACCTTCTACCATGAATACTAGTTTCCTGAGGCCTCCCCAGCCATGCAGATCTGTGAATCAATTAAACTTATTTTCTTTCTAAATTACCCAGTTTCAGTATTTCTTTATATTAGTGTGAGAACAGACTAGGACACAGTGGCACCAGGGAAATTACTGGCCTCTGTACACCCATTGCCTCTATGAACAGCTCAGCTCCCCACCCTCACATATTTTCCCATGGACTTTCTGGTTTCAGGAGGCTGCCCCTCTGCTATGGGTGGTAGTATTACCTGGTGCTTAAGAATATCCATGCAAAAGCTAGAGTTCTGCCTCTATACAATCTCAGGAAGTAAGCAAAATTTCTCTATGCCTTAGTCTTTTCATCTGTAAAATGGAGCTAATAATCCAACCTATCCCCTAGGGTTGTTGTGAGGTTTCAATCTAAGAAAAACACTAAGAATGAAGTTTAGCCCATTGTAAGCATCAATTAATAGTGCCAACTTCTATGTTTATCTTGTCATTGGTCCTGGAATCCAGTTGTCTCTTTTCAACCCACCGGCAATTTTAAGAAAGACTTCTTCAGTAAATATTGCCAATAAAAGAAATTCATTCATTTAGCAAATGAATTACCTAGGCACTTTGGTGATATCCCATGGTTCATTCTCTCTGTCTCTCTTATGCATTCACACACATACATGTGCACATGTATGTTCACACTATGATATGTGTCTCCGCCAACTTTCTTGAAAAGAACCTCTCATACACAAAGGAAGAGCTGGAAGTGCCCTCAGGCTCTCTGAGAAAAGATGAGAGCAGAGTCTGCAGTGCTCTGTAGAGCTCTGTGCAGGTCAACTAAGGAGCTCTCTCTCTACTTGGGGAGGGGACTGGAAGAGGCACAGAGATCACTGTCCGCAACACCTGGTTCCAGCTTTCAGGGGTTTTTCAATAGGACAGGATATTGGCTTATAAAAACAAACAGGCCACATTCTCAGTCCACATCTCCCTAAGCAAACATGACTCTTCTGATCATTACTTTCCTGCTCCTCAAGTTCCAGCAGGCTGTAAAGGTACCCCTCCTCTCCAGGAACATTTCTACTGGATTTCAACCATCTGCCTCTTCTTCCAAATACCTGAGAACTATAGTGTCCTTCCAATTTTCTCATCAGCAATATCAAACCAATATGGCAGAGGTGTTCAGTAAGTGAAAGAAAGGGGCAGAGAGGAAAGAGGGGCACACTTACTAGGAAAAATACCACAGTTACTATGAAATATCACCATCACCACCACCACCATAACCATAACCCCAGGAAGGAAAGCACCCGAGGATTTAAACGTTTCTTTTTGTATTATTTTCAGAGTTGCAAGATAACAATTGATTATTTTAACCCATTCTCAATTTTATAGATAATTATTTTATAGGTGATTATTTTAACCCCCCTAAATTTATAGATGAGGAAACTTCTAAAAATTAAAAGGTACAGGGTGATTTGCCCAAGATTGTAAGGCTTCAGAGAAAATCCTGGGACTAGAAACAGGAGCCCTGGTCTTGGTGTCCCTTGTGTCCCATGGTGCCTCATGGCCTCACCAGTTAGTCATTCAATGTCCGCTTCCTAGTTTCACCTGCACTAAACACACACACACACAGAAACATAGGCAGTAGCAGTTCTTATGCTGCAAGTATTTCATATCTTCACTGGTCATTTACAGGAACATTTCAAAATCATTTTAAGAAAATTCAAGTCTTTGTTCTGCTAATAGCAAACGTTTGATCTAGGCCATCGATTTTCATCTCTGGGACTGTGATCTGGCTGTGATGTGTGTCTCCCCATGAGGAGAAGAGTCCGAGCTGAGGGGTCTGGCTGTTCAATGGCACCTCTTTTCTGCCTTTTTATTTTGCCTGAATAACTTCCTGCCTGTATCTGATTCTAAGAATGGCCCTAATTTTTAACTTATGAAACGAAAGAAACGATAAAATTACGCCAATATATTTAAATAATAAAAATTCCCAAAAGGCTGTGATGATGTTTAGATATACACAATGCCTAAGAACGTTCTATGAATAAATGACCATCTAACAAAAAATCTCTTTATTATGGCAAATTTAAATAATTTCCTGAGAAGCATGTTTCATGTGTTATTTTTCACAACTCAGTAACTTATTTCAAAATAATCTTAAACGAAACCTCAACATATAAAATATATACAATAATTCTTTAATAGCATAATTCATTTAATAAGTACTGATATATTTGTTAATAAAATCAGTTGATGAAGCTTTCTTAAAACTCCCGTTATCAGAACTATTTATAATCTTACACAGCATCAACGTCTATATAATGTGTATATTCCTGACAGTTTATTGGTTATATTTTTGTTGCTTTTAGTTT